TTCGGCGGGGCGGGCGCGCGCTGAGGAGACAGAGCCCCCGGGGCGCCGCCATGAGCCGCCGCGCGCCGAGACTCTCGCCGGGGCCTCAGGCAGGTAAAAAGCCTGCGCCTCGCAAGTTTTTCAGAGACGGCGAAAGTGACGCCGAGTGACCCCGGGTCGCCGAGAGGAGTGCCGGGAGGGAGGCAGGGCCGCCAGGCTCGCTCGGAGCCGGAGCGCCGGGCCCGGGGGTGGGAGTCCCCGCCAGGCCGGGGGAGCGGCACGGCGGACACAGAGGTCCGCGGGCGGCGCCCAGGTGAGCCGGCGGCCGCGCGCCCGCGCCGAGATTTCCGGCCGCGAGCTCCGGGCGTGCGAATCGGCGAATCGCGGCTTCAATCAGCGCGCTCTGGCCCTGCGTGCGCGGACCTGCTGCTCGGCGGAGCTGCCGCTGCCGCTGCTGCTGGTGCTGCTGCGGCTGCTTCCCGGCGCCGCACCTGGGCGCTGCGCGGAGTCGGGGGCGCCCGCCAGCCCTGTCTCACGACGCCTTGAACTTGATACGGCGCCGAGCAGTAACTTCTAGGTCCAGAGGAAGCTATCGACTTTTTTCAACAAAGTAGTTACATTACTTTTTTGAGTAGTGGCGGAGAAACACAGGCGGAGATGGGCTTGGAGCCATCCAAGGCAGGGTGGAATTTAGCTTTGCGAAGCATTGTGCACATCAGTGAATAGTCACCTTTTTATAAGCTTTCCTGAGCATTACTCGCTCCTTAATCATTTTCCCCCCTTTTTGTTGAGAAGGGAGAGATCAGAACTCGCTCAGCTGGACAAGTGATCAAAAGAGTCGGCAGTGGGGACCCAGCCAGCTGCTTTGCAAGAGAGAAGATCCGGAGTTGGTTCCCATCTGGATTTCACCCTCGGAGACGTTCTCCGTCCTCCAAGGTGTTTCGGGTGCGAATCCACGGGAGGAGCTCCTGGCCACATCCGTAGATGATTTGCGTTCTGGAGCTCACAGAGAAACCATTTTGCTAGCAGCGTTCGCAAGCAGAATTGGCTCAGCAGTGGACATGCACAGCAGTAGAAACGGATTTCTTTAAAGCGCCCCAGGAAAACCAAACTTGGACACCAATCTGAGTATTGGAGAAGTTTAAAATGAAACTAACACTCTGGAATTTGGTGTGTGGTTTAAAGATACCTAATGGAGACAAAATTTCTTAACTGGGAAAATTCATTGATATTCAGAGATCACGAGGTGTTGAGTTTTGTTGTTTTTAAAAAACTAGTTTTGCGGGTTATTTTCATTCACGGACTAAAATGAAAGTCTATATATATCTTCAATATAGTTTTGAGATGTAGAATATGAGAATTTAAATTTATTTTTTAGTTTTGTTTGATAAATTTCCCCCCCTCCATTGCCATTTTCTCCCCAAATTTTGTAGACAGTTTGGGGCCTAATATTTCTCAGAAATCACTACTATTCTTGCCTCGGAAATATTTTTGTGTTCAGTAACCTTCTAAGCTGCACTTTAGAGTTGTAATAGGTCTATTTACATTTTTAACGTATACATATTTGACTGTCTAGAAAACAGGAGAGCAAGCCCTGGTGACACAGTAGTTAAGCGCTTGACTCACCATAAAGTTGTTCCTTGGAACTCACCAGCCTCTGTTTGGTAGATTGTTACTATGTTCCGTTGAGTTGAACCACTCATGGTTCACCCTCCAGTGAGTTTTCAGAGGGAGTGAATCTCCCAGGCACAAACTGCCTTGGAAAAAGCCTATAAGTCAGTTCTACTCTGACTGTTGGTGTCGATAAAGTTGGCTTTTGGAGTGCAGAAAACAAGAGGATAAACAAACCCAGTAACACTGTAACTCTTGAAATTATTACTGTATCCCTCAGCGCAGTGGTGAAGGAAATCTAGAAGTTATAGGAGAAAGCTAATTCTTGCTGCTCTCATTTGGCACTTGATGTTGACTTTTCTGCAGAGTCAAGTGAATCTGGAAAGTAAAAGAATTTAATCAAAAAGTTGAAATTTTTCTTCAAGCAAGATACTTGTGACAGCCAGCGTCAGTATTTGCTATAAGAGAGCTTGTCATCCTTGCTTCCAGATTCCCAACATCTAGGAAAATAATTAACATGTGTTAACCAAACACCATTTTTTAAAAACCCCAAGCCCATTGCCCTAACATCGTTCTGATTCATAGTTACCTTATAAGACAAAGTGATGTGATTCTTTGTGGCAGCAGACTGCCACATCTTGCAAGAAATGGCTGGTGAATTTGAACCACCAACTTTTCCATTAGCATTGGCTCAGAGAGTCATGAACAGAGTCAATTTCAGGGGCTCTTTAAATACATACAGATTCTGAGATAATGTGTGAACTCTTGTTTTGAATAATGTTGACTTCAGAAAGGTGACAGAGCTTATTAAAGTGGATAAAGTGAAAATTGTAGCCTGTGATGGTAAAAATACTGTCTCCAATACTACAGAATGAACAGGGGGAAATGGCTTTTTTTAAAAAAAAATTATTATTTCCGTGAAAATTTAAAGAGACTTTGGGTTTCCATTCACTCATTGTTGCACTTTTCTCCCCTCCACCCTAGTACACTACCCTCTTGGAAAAGTAAAGGAAAAATTCATTCATTGTTTTACGATCCTAGGTCCATTCCACTATGCAGCCTTCGCTCTGGACTCCTGTCTTGACAAAAATACCTAATCACATATCCCTTTTAAACAGTGGTCTCCCTCAACTGTTTCAATGCAGTATACATTATTGAACCCATCTTTCTCAGTCTCTCCCCAACCCTGAGGTCAGTCTTGTTTTACAACAGTGGCACCATGCAGTATTTGTCCTTTTGTGACTAAGATACTTCACTCAGCATAATGTCATCCAGGGTCACTCATTTTAAATAATATTTCATGAGTTCCTTGTTTTTCAATGCTACATAGTATTCCATTGTGTGAGTATACCAGAGCTTCTCTATCCATTCGTTTGTTGATGGGCACTTGGGTTGTTTCCAACTCCTTGCTTATTGTGAACAAAGCCACGATAAACATGGATGTGCATATATCTGCTTGGATGTCAGTTATGGGCTCTTTGGGGTATATTCCCAGTAGTGGAATTGCTGGGTCAAATGCTATCTCTGTTAGCAACTTTTTGAGAAAGCACCATTTTACACTCCCACCAACAGTGAATAAGGGTTCCAGTTTCTCCACAACCTTGCCAGCATTTGTTGCTTGCTGTTCTGTTAAATTTTGCTATTCTTACTAGGATGAAATGATATCTCATAGTTGTTTTGATTTGCATCTCTCTTAGAGCTAGGGATTTTGAACATTTCTTCATGTGCCATCTGAATGTCTTCTTTGTGAAGTGTCTGTTCTGTTCATATCCTGTGCCCATTTTTCTACTGGATTATTTACCTTTATCTTGTTGTGGTGCTCAAGTATTTTATAAATTCTGGACATAAGTCCCTTATCTGATATGTCATTACCAAATACTTTTTCCCAGTCTGTGGCTTCCCTTTTTACCCTGTTTTGGATTTGATTCTTAGAAGGTCCTATTCATGTATTTTATCTTCTCCTGGTTGTAGGTGGAAATGGCTTTTTTATGCCATCCTCTGTTATTACTCTTGGCTTTTTTGAAGAGAAACTTAGAAGAGACTTTTTTAGATTCATTCTAGCAATTCAGAAATTACTCCATTGTGCTGTGCTGTGCTGTCACGAAGTCCAATAGAAAGCCCCTAACTCTGTAGCGCCTCCATTCATTTATTATGCAGCATGAAGAAACCCAATTTTTTTAAATAACAAATCAAAAGTTATTACCTTCCTATAAACATTCTTTAATAAATGAATTTTAAGACATAAAAAAAATTTGGAGGTAATTTGTCATACAGCAATAGATAGGGTCATCATTATAGTAATTTATTATATGATAGATAATACAGCCCAATGGTAGTACCTGGAAGATATTAAATACTTGTTAACAATTCAACTCTTCCTTTAGTAATTCTAGCTGGGCTCAGCTTAGGCTATTTAGCATCCTATAATACTAATGCAAGTTCACTTGATCTCACATTCCAGTTGCATTTACAATTACTGTCAGAAAGAATATAGAAATAGACTGATGTTTTCTGATTCTTTGCTCCATGATAACTTGTTTAAATGTATTTTATATGATGTCTCATATTTCTTAGAAATACTACAATGGGGATGTGAAATGGAAGTAGATAGATGTTTAGGTAAAACAGAATTGGGCATATGTTGAAGTGGGGTGTAGATAGTTGAGGGCCCATTACTGTCATTCTTTGCTTTTTGTGTCTTTTCAAAATTTTTGTTTTAGTTATCTCATGGAGTCAAAAGTTTGGAACCAAGGTGGCTATTTAGGAATCATCTAGTCTAAATAAGTCACTTGCTGGTATTAGGCTCTGTCGCGTGTCGACAGTTCATAGCCACCCTGTGAACCACAGATCTGAACCTTGTCCTCTACTGTGCCGTTATCACCATTTCTCATATGCCCGAGCCCACTGTTACAGTCACAGTGTTAATCCATTCTTTAGTATCCTCCTCTTTCTCTGCCCCTGCCCCTTTTGTTTTCTTACTGTTATGTGTCATTGAGTCGCCTGAGACTCATAGAGACCCTATGCACAACAGCTCTGAACCCTGTCTTATCCTGAATCAATCTCACTGTCTCCAAAATACCTGCCCTTATTATGCCAGGCCCTGTGTCAGTACATCTTATGCAGGGTCTTCCTCTTCTGTGTTGTCCCTCCACCCTTCCAAGCATGATGTCCTTCTCCAAGGACTGGTCCCTTCTGCCATCTTTAGATGTGAAAAGTGAAATCCAGACAGGTTCATTAACTTGCCCAGAGCCTTCTAGTATCATATTTTTTAAAATTATTTCTTCTGGGTAGAGAGAATAGTGCAACAATGAATGAGTGGAAGCCCAAAATCTCTGTAAATGTTTATGAAAATTAATAAAATATAATTATAGAAAAAAAATTTATTTCTTCTTTGAATATTGAAAATAAGCTACTAAACTCATAACTCTCTTGCCAAACAGAATAACTTCCTCTGAGTTTCCAAAGATAGCTCCCCAAGCATGAAAATGGGAATAACATTTCTGTATGTAATTTGTATCAGATTGTCAGATTATTTAGCTCCAGTCCCTATTTTTTTCCCCTCCTCCTATCCATTTTGAAAAACAGCATTTGCTTCTTATGCAGGTGCTCTTGCCACTGTTTTAGTCACTTAAATGTCATTGACAGACACTCAAATTCAAAACCAAACTCACTGCCATTAAGTTGATTCTGACCTTAAGACAGTTTGCGTTTTTGACGCTGTAAATCTTAACTGGAGAAGGCTGCTTTTCTTTGCGCATCTCTGGTGAAACCACTGATGTGAACCACCAGAGACGTGCAGCTAAAGACTGCACCACCAGAGGTCCTGCCATTGTCAGGTGCCTGCAAGTCACATACAACTCTGCAACCCTATAATCATCAGATCTGAAACCAGCCCCATCCTGTGCCATCCTCATCATCTGCCTCACTAGAGCCTGTTGTTACAGTCACTTTGTCAGTCGAGCTCATTAACGGTCTTCTTTTTCCCATGACCCTTCACTTTTCCAAGTACGATGTCTTTCTCCAAAGACTGGCCCTTTCAAACAACATACCCAAAGTATGTGAGACAAAATTTCACCATCCTTGCCTCAAAGGAGTGTCCTGCCTGCACTCTCTCCAAGACATAGCTGTTCATTCTCTTGGCAGTCCATAGGTAGTTAGTGCCCTTCTCAACATTGAAGTAATACTCAATTTCTAGTTTGTATTAAATCTTAATTCCCTACGCTAAATGGTGTTTTATATAAACCCACTGCCATATATTGATTCAAAGGCTGTAAATCTTTATGGGAGGACACGTTCCATCTTTCTCAGGACCTAGTAGATTTGAACTGCTAACC